CAGACATCAAAACTCCAAAACTGTATATATCTGATGCTCTTGTATATGGTTTCTCTTTTAAAACTTCTGGTGCAATAAATGGCAATACTCCACATATATCATTTTTGTTTGATGATGGTGTCTGACTAATTGGGCATGATAATCCTAAGTCTGCAATATATGAATTATATGAATCCCTTTCCTTTTCTTGAAGAATATTACCACTATGAAGATCATGATGAATAATTTCTTTTTCATGAATATCTTTTAAACCTTTAATAATTTGTCTAAGAATATCAATTTTGTTTTCCCATTTTAAACTTTTAAAATCTTTAGTTAAATAATTTTGAAGACTTCCATTTTCAATATATTTCATTACAAATATATATTCTTTTGCAATTGAATCTTGTGTTAATCCATAAATATGAATTATATCCCATTTATCATGAAACTTTATATAATTTTTGAACTAAAATAACAAATAAAATATTTAATTACAACATTAATAATCAATAATAATTTAAAAAATCAGAAAATAAGTAGAAAAATATAATTTACCTCATTAAGAAATTCAACAGAAATATTCTGTGAATTATGTAGTTTTTTTAGTGCCACAGTCCTATCTTTGCTAGTTCTGTTACGATTTCCATTTTCATAATTTATCTTTTTCTCACCATTTAACCAAGTAGCTTTGTATATAGTTGCAAAACCACCATCACCAATCTTTTCAATATTTGTTAAATTATTATAAGGAATCCATTGAAGATAATAATAATCACCATACTTAGTTGCTTTAAGTTGTGTACTTTTAATCAACTCATCTAATGTTTCATTGCCACTAGTCCATCCTTCAGTTAGTAGCTTTGGATCACATGATTGACACCAGAAATAATTAGTATTATATCTATTGCAGGTTGGACATTTCCCATACCTTGATTTTCTTTTCTTTGAATATTTATCATTTTGAGGATTTCCATCTTCCATGTGATGAATTACAAAAATGTATTCTTTTGTAATTGGATCTTGTGTTAATCCATAAATTTTATTTATAAATGATTCATCATAAAATGTAACATAATTTTTAAACTATATAAAAAAAATATATTGAATTTCAGAATAATATTTAAAAGGTTTGAAAATAAATAAAAAAAATAAAATAATTCACCTCATTAAGAAATTCATCAGAAATATCCTGTGAATTATGTAGTTTTTTTAATGCCACAGGCATATCTTCACTAGTTCTTTTTTCAGAAATTAAATATTTATTGCCATTTAACCAAGTAGCTTTGTATATAGTTGCAAAACCACTTTCACCCATATTTTTAATATTTGTTAAATCATCATAAGGAATCCATTGAAGATAACAATCATTATCATACTCAGTTGCTTCAAGTTGTGTGCTTTTAATCAATTCATCTAATGTTTCATTGCCACTAGTCCATCCTTCAGTTAATAGCTTTGGATCGCATGATTGGCACCATGTCCAATTAGTATTATATCTATTGCAGGTTGGACATTTCCCATAATATTTTTCTCTTTTCTTTGAATATTCATCATGATGCTTATTTTTATTTAAAGTGTTTCCCATCTTTAAAAATTTACTATATTGTAATAATTTGTCAAAAAAAAATTTTTTTCTAAAATATGTATCACACAATATTTAATATTAATAAAAAAGGAATTAAATTTTACCTTAATTACAATAATTCAGCACTACATAAATAAATTCAGAATGACACTCTAATATCGTAAGTCATTGACAGTAAAACCATAATGCCGTAATTATATAAATATTGCAAGCGTGCGATCTGAGTTATTTATTATGGAGTCATCAAATCTGGCAAACTAAACTAAAATCACTATATACAACTATACTGCTTGATTAGGTTACTATTCAATTACTCATTATGAATTCGAGTATTCGAATTGCATTGGAGATTTATTCGAATAAAATGAATAATGAATAATTCGATAATTCGAATAAGACGAATAAACGAATGATTCGAATAAAGCGAATAAACGAATGATTCCAAATAGTTCAAATAAAATGAATAACTTGAATAATTCGAATAAAAAAAAATAAACGAACAATAATAAAACGAGTAATTCGTAATTCTAATAAAACGAATAAACGAATAATTTGATTAAAACGAATAATTCAAACAAGACGAATAAACGAATGACAATAATTCGAATAAATGATTGATAAATAGTTTGAATAAACTAAAATCACTATGTACAACCACACCACTTGAGGTATCCCTGCAAGCAATATAGTAAAACTAAAAGGGTTCCCTAACTAATAATTAAAGGTTGGCCAAACCATTAATCATCAGAAAGGGTTATGAATCAATAATCATTAATTTATTACACAGTCAAGGATCATGGGATATTATAATATTATAGAAATATCAATTAGTTATTGTTATTTTTTATTATCAAAGTGTTAGGATAGCATATTATTGAAAAATTATTTGTTATTTATTTCGTGATCCGCGATAGAAGTGCACACTGTAATTAGTAAAATTTTGGGGGATCGTCATTATTAAATGCTTACAATTGACCAACTTTCAAAATTTTTTTATTAATATATAGGTTCCAGAAAAACTGCAATTATTTGTACTAAAGCATAAGAATGTAAAGTTTTTCTTCGAATAACATAAAAATTTATTGTAAGTTTGAATTATTATCATTATCATCAAAATATAATTATAAATATAATTTATCTGTTGGATGTATTGTTATTATTAACATTACTTTTCCCTAACATTTTATCAGAAGCATCTTTCTTCATTGCAGATGAATATTTAGATATCCAATTTCGAATAGTTTCCACTTTTGGAATTTGTTCAGGCATAAAATGGTAATTATTATTTGCTTCTTCAACAAGTTTCTGATGCATTGATTCTGGTGTACATCTTTGACTTTTATCAGAATTACCAGAATGAAAGTAAGATTTAAGAAAATCTACAATTATTTTGGCATTCTTTTGCCACAACCTTTTTTTCCAAATTTTTGTTTCCCCTTAATTGCACATCTTAATTTAAGTGGGAATATATCTTCTATGCATTGCCCAAATTGATATATCACATTACAAACATATTAAATTATATATTTGATCATATTTTACTATATATTCTTACCCTTCTGAAAAATCACAATGGGAAAAATCAGAGCTTTGGAGGAGGTTAGGTATATTTGAAGCATCATCATTTACTATAATATATATTATATTTAAAATATTATTACTTTTTCCAGTAGTGAACATTAATAAGATATTTTTGAATACTTCAGAATTTACCATTAACAAAAAGTGGATTGTCATTTGATTCATTGGACAGTGTATTTTTGATTTTTTTTTTCTGCTTTTTTTTGATTGATTCACCTATTATTTAATAAATATTTATTAATATTAATATAAATTTATGAATTCTACACAATTTATCTATTTACCTGTTGCATCAGGAATTGGCACAGTCCATTTATTTCTTGGAATGTAATGTAATGTACACATTGGTTCAGGTTTTGTGAATTGTTGTTTAATTAATCTGTTTACTTCTGTAGGTGAAAATTTGGTCCAATCACCTACATTAGGTAATTCACGAGCATATATAGATCCATTAGATTCCTCATCAATTGGCCACTTCCAAGAATACCACTTAGATACCCCAGTAATTGTATCTACAATTTTTCCAACATTCCTCTTTGGTTGAATATGTGCTACTGATGTCCCTTGGAGATTTCCAATACTTTTTTCAATATCTTCACCTGTTGATAAGTCATTTCCCAAACTCACAAATCTTTTGATTGCATGTGAGATCTATTATAATAGTAGCATTATTGAAATCAATAAGTTGAAACTCAAATCAATTAGTTGTCAATTTAACTGATCATTAATAAAATGGACTCAATAATTGACCAACATATCAAATAAGGAGGTAATTTGTTAAATCATAATTTTTTTCAATTGATTAAAAGAAAAAAAATTTTTATGATTAAATTGGTTCACAATAAGCCATTTATTACATTTATTGTACATTCAATCCTTTGCAAATTATTACAGTTGGATCTATCTATACAACCAATCACAATATTCTTAGTTTGTGAAAATGTTGCTATAAACTTTCTGACTGTATAGTTTCAAGTAACAAACCAAATTAACAAAATTTTATATTGAATTATTAATAGACTATCAATTTACCTGTGCATGGTGAGAATCAATGGCAGTTTTAGCCTCTCCTGGCTCTAAGAATGTCCAACTTCTAACCTCAATACCATACCATTCATACCAGTAGTTCAAAATTACCATCAGTTCAGAGTTGTGATAATGACCGCCATTATCTGATATTATGGATACCCATTTAGGTTTATTTTCAATTGAGGTAAGAACAGCATGAAGTGAAGATGCTGTAAACCAAGCATCTTGTCATGTGTCATTGGACCAATGATCAAATGCACTAACATCTAATTCATCATTTTGCTTTTTAGTATATAATAATGTACTGTGCAAAGTCCATCCTTTTTTACCAAAAAATTAGTCCTTGGTTTCACGAGCAGATTTTGGAAGAACATGCATTTTATAATCTACCACTAAAACTGCACCTTCACAATCAAGCTCTCTGAGTATAAAAGAAAATTGAGAATTCAAATATGCTTTCCTTATTTGATGGCTAAGATAATAACAAAGTTTTTCCTGGGCATCATCCAACATATCAATAGATGTTTTGCCAATAACATTTTGTAGATTTTTGAATAAGATCCAGAATTCATCACAGTTTTGACAAGTATTAATATGCTTTTCTTTACAGATACCAAAAGCATATGCAAGACAATGTGAAATACAAGGGTCATGATGAGGCTGTCCATCCTTTTCAATTTTAATTTTTTTCATAATTTAGCTTCATATGTCTTTGTAATAATTCAATTCTATTAATAAAATTGGTCTTGCAAAATATTCATGTAAGTTTAATTTTTTATAAATGATTATAAATTTAAAAATATATTCAATCTACCTTTAACTCTCCATCAAGATTATTTGAAACTAAATGTATTAGATCTTCAAAAACATTGTAAACATAATAGCAACAGGTTGAACATAGTCCTCCAAGGTCTTCTCTATACTGAAACCTCTGACTTTTTAATTGTGTCATGAAAGAAGATTGCTTGATTCCATTTGGATATGTTACAGAATACTTATCCCAAAGTGCTTTTTTGTATCCTTAAGATATAGCACTGGAAGGTTCAATTCACGATCAACCTTGTAAGAACTCATATTTACAATTGATTTGTCTGAAAAGAACTTCTCAAATTGTTTTTTTGCTTCTTCCGAAAAGCGGTTTTGATGTATTTGTGGTTTTTCAATAGGAGGGCATCCTGGACCATTTAATCTCACAAATTTTCTTGCTTCACATAATGTATGCTTTGCTACATTTATCTAAAAAGAAAAGGTATTTTAATATTTTACATATTTTTTAAAATCAAAAATTTACATTTGATTTCCTAAGTTCTTCTAAAGTAAAATTATCTGCCACAATTGATAGTATTCTACATTTTCCTTCTAATCCTTTTTTGTTTGCATCTATGGCATCAGAAATACTTTTAGCAAACCGTTGAGCATTGTTACATGTTTCTAGGTCACATATTGGTTCACTTGGAGATGGAGTAGGAGAAAGGAATCCTTTATCATAAAGCATAAATAATGTTTCCTTATCATATGAAGGATTAGGATTTCTTGTCCAAAATTCACTAAAAATTATAAATAAAGGTACTGATGTTAATATTAATATATAAATTCTTAAAATGATTGATTTTTATAAAATGCAATACCAGTGATTCCTTTTTATTAAATGGTGTTATATTTGTGCCACCTGCAGCTTTTATTAATGAACGCCAAGCACGATACTCCCTGTCATTAAAAATATAATCAGAAGGATATATACAGGAAAGTTCTGATCGAATCTCAATAATATTGCTGCTTTGAAGAGACCAATTTTTAAACAATTTGTACCAATTGACATCAGCTAATGTACGTGACTTTAAATGATATAAGTACAAAGGTTCCATGATATTTAAATTATTCCAATACTTAGATGTACAGGTAAGTTTTTGATGATCTGTCAATTTTTTTTGAGTAATAGGATCTTTTAGACCGAAAAGTTCATCACCACTAAATTTTTTTAATAAGTTTGTTTTGGCCCACACTTCATCAGGTGTTTTCCTTCAAATTGTGCAATAATTTCTGTATTGCAAAAAATTTCAATGCTACAAATTGATTTCCTTATTTTTTGGACAAAAAAACATCTTTTCCTTTGATACATATAGATAAATAATGATTTGTAGCCAGTGCCTGCTCCATGTAAAATTTCACTATTGGATACTCCTAATCCATATACAAATATTTTAATTGTTTCTACCATTACTGAAAATGGTCTAAACAATATACCATCTAAAAGTTTCTCTAATAATAAAGAATTATCTAGACCAAATTCATGCACTCCAGAAAATTTGGTTTTATTTTTAAAAATTTCCTGATATAAAGGATTAAGTGCACTACTTATATAGTCCTCTTCTCTACTAACATACTCACCTGATTCACAAACATATCTTGGCTGACCTTGGCTACCTTTAAAAACACAGTAAAGTTTCAACCATTTAATTCTGTTACTATTGACATTCCTACACATATAGGAAAGAATTCTTCAATTTCAGTAGTTATTTCCAACCACCAATTTTGTGAAAAAGGTCCGAAATGTAATTCAGGAATAATAAGACCATGAGAAATAAGTGTAGGGGCAACTAATTTACTTTTGGACATAATTGTGTAGAGTTAAAATATGCAATTGTATAATAAACATGCTGAGATTTTAACACAGGTTGAATTTATTAAGTTTTAATAACCCCTCAATTTACTATAGTGCAAGTCACTTAGCCGCTGAACTTTTTGTGCTACACCGCCATTTTTTGAGAAAAAAATTTCCAATCAAAAATGCAATAAAATTTGTATGGT